TGGATCATCGAACAGGAATGATCCTTGTCCTAACCCTAGTTGTAATGTCCGTATGGGGTTCGGACGCATCAGCAATACTAAAGACTAAATTCGACGCGCCGCTTCTGACTGAAAAAATCGCAACAAACCGATCGATAATTGTCGATATTGAAGGCAAAGGTGACTACACTTCGGTTCAAAAAGCCATCGATGCTGTCCCTGCTGGTAACTCTAATTGGATTATCGTCCATGTCCGTAAAGGAATCTACAAGTATGTATTCTTTTTACGAGGTTTAACCATTTACATTTTCGATATGCGCAAAATCATGTTACATGATAACATAGATATATAATATATAACCGAGTTATATGTCTTACTATTGTTATCCAAGGCAAAGATGAATTTTTCGGTCTACAAATATGGATGTACTCAATTATATAGGACATTTCTGATTTTGAATTTGATGGTTTTTTTTGGTTGGTCAAAAAGGGAGAGAGTGCACATTCCAGAGAACAAGCCGTTTATATTCATGAGAGGTAATGGAAAAGGAAAAACGATCATCGAATCTTCTCAAAGTGCGGTCGATAATGTTGCTTCAGCCACTTTCAAAGTCGAAGCTAATCACTTCGTTGCTTTCGGTATCAGCATCAGAGTATGTATAAGAAATATTGTCCATGTCGAATCTTTTTAATAATTACGTTAAGTGACATTGGTGTTAATGAATTGGTGTGGTGAATTACAGAACGATGCACCGGTCGGAATGGCGTTCACTTCTGAGAACCAATCGGTGGCTGCGTTTGTAGCTGCGGATAAAGTAGCGTTTTACCATTGTGCGTTCTACAGCTTGCACAACACTTTGTTTGATAACAAAGGTAGACATTACTACCATGAATGTTACATTCAAGGCTCTATCGATTTCATCTTTGGTCGCGCAACTTCCATTTTCAACGTACGTTTTACTACATACCCTAAAACATATCATAGAAATATTAATATCTAGACTGTTAATAATACATCACATTTTCATATTTTCGCGTTTTCTAAAACATTCATCATGCTTATATTATATGCGTCACAAAATCGAATTAAAAAAGAGTTGATTGTAATAATTGTTACAGAATTGTGAGATATTTGTGATATCGGACAAGAGGGTGAAACCGTACGGGTCAATCACAGCACACCATAGGGAAAACGCAGAGGAAGATACAGGTTATGTGTTCATAAGAGGCAAAGTGTACGGAGTCGATGAGGTTTACTTGGGCCGAGCCAAAGGACCTTACTCTCGAGTCATCTTTGCCAAGACGTACTTGTCCAAGACCGTTGTCGCTGACGGTTGGACCAACTGGAGCTACGACGGCTCGACCAAGTTAGTCTCTACATATATATATAACCTAATTTTGGACAAGTGATAAACAATGTTTATGGATATATATACTAATTCTCTCGAGACTTGATGATCAGGGATTTATACCATGCGGAGTATAAGTGTCATGGACCAGGTGCTGAGAGGAAACATAGATCTGATTGGGCCAAAGAGCTAACCAAACAAGAAGTTGAGTCTTTCTTGTCCATTGATTTTATTGATGGAACTTCTTGGCTCCCTGTTTGGCTTCAGGAAAAGTTTTAGATGTTCTTTATGCTACGCGTGTCTC